TAACAAACAGGCTGAGAAGGAAATCAGAGATATTTTACAATATTTACCATTTACAATAGCCACAGATTATATAAAATACCTTGGGGTATTTTATATAACTAACCAAGCAAGTGAAGGACCTATATGACAAGAACTTTAAGTCCCTGTAAAAAGAAATTGAAAAAGATGTCAGAAAATGGAAAGGTCTCCCATGCTCATGGATAGGCAGGATTAACATAGTAAAAATCACAATCTTACCCAAAGCAATCTACAGATTCAATGCAATCCCCATCAAAATACCAACACAATTCTTTACAGACCTGGAAAGAATAATACTTTCCAGGTTTACTGGAGTCTTATTACCCCTCTGATTATGACACTCTTCCTATCATATCTGACACAGGGTTCTTTGTGCCCTGAGAAAAGTGATTTAATGGAGACATCACATTTAAGGCTGAGTGTTCAAACTCCTTGCTTAAAGTTTGTTTGTGGGTCTATACAATTTTTCCATCTGCTTCAGGAGATAAATTGTCTGACAATGGCTGTGGAAGGCACTGATATATACCAGAATGTCCCTAGGAGTTAGATTATTGCTATGTTCCTTCATTATAAAAGTAGTATTTGGTTTTATCCTGGGTCCTAGGGCTGCCTAGTCTCAGGTGCTTGATCATGAAAACAGTGTCAGGTATGTTTTACTTTTCATGGAGTGGACCTTAAGTTAATCCAAATGTTGGTTGACTATTCCCCTAAGATTTGTGCTACTATTGCACTAGCACCACTTGCATGCTGGATATCTATGTCCAAGTGTGTGTATGTGTGTGTATGTTTGTGTGTCTGTCTGTCTGTCTCTGTCATTGATGTGTTTCTCATACTTTTTCTGATGCATTTGTGTTTTGTATTTTTGTGTTGTTTTTCAAATTTTTCCTGTTCTTTTTCTACAGAAAAAAAATGTAAGAGGGTTGGATGTGTGGGAAAGTATGAAGAAGGTCTTCTCCTGCTCATCACTCTGACCTTCTGTTTTCTCTGTCCCTTGCTCTTCATTGGAAATAACAACACAGCCACATTCATCCTACAGCAAAGCTGAATGAGGATGAGGTTGGGAAAATCATGATCACAACACATTGTATGAAAAAACATATTTAAAATGTGATAATTATGAAGAAATTCTCAAAGGTAGAATCTGGCTTGTTTTCAATTTAACCACAGACTTTGACATAGTTTGCACCCTCCCTTTTTTGTGCAAGTTAGCAGCAAATAGATTATAAAAAGACTGATGAGAGACAGATGACCAGATACAAGGCATGAAACATTTAAAGTCCTAGACATTTATGCAAAAGCGCAGTATACAAGAAATGAGAGGAATCTAATAGTGTTGTTCTCAAAGAATTAATTACCCTTTATCCATACAATACATGGTATCAATGAAAATAATATAGATCAATTTAACAAAAGTAAAGAATTTTGAGCAAGGGAGTACACAAATCACTATTTAAAAATCAATAGTCAATGAGGCTAGAGCACAGGTTTTCATGAACTGGTTAGAGAAGGGCATTTCACATTCTTCACTGATTAATGAAAACTTCATATAATTATCTCTTACTGGGTGTACCTGACTGACTCGTAAGAAAAATGAAGTTATAAAATAAAGATTTAAATGGTCTTCTAGTATACACCATATTATGCATGTACTCGATTCAGTATTAACTTCATGTCAAATTGTTTTTATTTTTAAAATTTTCTTTTCTTCAGAGTGAAGAGATACAGGAAATGAAAGCAGGCAGCATTCATTCATAAAACTTATCAAGAGCATTAAAAACACATGGACACATCTGATGCATTCAAAGTAAGAAATGTTGAAGAAGAAAATTACATATCTATTTTTCTACTATTAATTGACAGGTAAATGAATTTTATGGCAGTGAATTTTCTATTATAGAGATATATGAAAATGATATTAGAATTTGAGGGCATAAAGATGGATTTTATCAAGTCATGAAAGCACTCAATATAAAATTCTAAATTGCAACATTATTTCTGACTGTTGGAATAGTACTAAACTCCTATAAATTGGTAATTAAGAAACATATGGACTAAGCTGTAAGATGGACATTTCCTATAGCATGTGCTTCATCCCTGATTTGAAAAAGCTATGTGTTCTTAACAAAATACTGTATCATTTGGCAAGAAAATTCAGCCTATGAGCCCAGGACTGTTGACCAAGAAGTAGTAGACCTCTGTGGCCATCATAAGATTTCCCTTTGTGCTGTGGTAGACAGGGAGGAAGGTAACACACAAATGGAGGAAGATGACACAGAAATGGAGGAATGACACACACATGACATAAACCAGGCTTCACTGAATGTGTCAGGCAAGATCCTACACAATAAAGCCATAGAGTAGCTCCAAATTGCCAAAAGGAGAGGTATCCCAGGACACAGTGGAAGGCAACAACTTCAACTGCAGCTTTGTTGCACACAATGATGATGTGCCTATGGTCACAGTGAGCATCTGAATCAATAAAAGGAGAAGATGTGCTCATCAAAATTCCACAGAACACAAGTTGGATATGGGTGCAAATGGGAATGATGAAGTTAGTAGCCGGAGATAGCATTATCCACCTCACCATTCTCCCTAGAACAGTGACTTGAAGACTAGAACTACAGGAAGCCTTTTGGCCAAGAAAGTGGAGAGAGCCACCTGGAACAGAGCTCCAAATATGCTTTGCTGTAGGATGAAGTTGGTTGTGTTGAGATGACCAGTGAAGAGCAAGGGACAGAGAAAACAGAAGGTCAGAGTGATGGGCAGAATATAAGTGAGAGCCTGTTTATTAGCCTTGGCAATGGGAACATTGTGACGCTTTCCAAAGATACCAAGAACACAAACAGTAGAGTATAGAGAAGCCTAGAGTCACACAGGTGAGTTCCAGCCCTAATGTATCTTCAGGCCAGAAAGGTCACAGCTTTCTGGAGGCAGTGGTTCTGGCAGTGCTGTGTGTTGACATACTGACTTTATGAATACTTCACACACTGCTTCATATCTGAATAGAAGTGATTTATCACAACTCAGTGTTAAAGTTTACCTTTCATCCCAAGCCACTCCAAAGTTCTTTAGTGTTTTAGCCTTACAAGTTGCTTTTTTGTTTCAGATTTTAGTAAGTCAACATTCCACAACTAATAATTCCAAATGCTCTCTCATTAATTATTACTTACAGATATAGCCAATCTTCTTTATTAGGAAATAAATTAGCAAGTTTGTTCTTTTCCTGTCTCTATCTTTAATATGTTTATTTAGCCATAAATAAATGAATTACAGCCAACAAATCTATTTTTTTCATAATATCATCTCCTCCTGAAACAGCTCAATTTGCATACAACTGTGAACTCAGCACTTACAGGAAATTTGATACTGTTGTTTCTTCCCAGCATATATCCATGTCAATCCCTCACTGAACTGAATGCTCATTGTAAAATCTACATCTGAAAATCATTAAAATCATAATATGTAGAGGATATTATAAATATTCTCTATAGAATTATGTATTTTTTAAGATTTGTGTAGTTCATTCTGCAAGGTTTTATGTGTAACATTTCAAATCGATCCATGTGTGTTTTAGTCTCTTCTTTTACCATATTGCTGTTGTATAGTTGTCCTCTTAATCTGCAATCATAGTTTGATCTAAATGGTTCAGATTTCTCCAATGTACATACTTAAAATGAGAATGAACTTATCATGTACCTAATGCATATAAAGCATCCATATTCTAGGTAATTTTTTCCTAGTCTGAATTGTACAACTCAATATATTAAAAAAAACAAGTATTGAAATTGCATTTTACTTGTTGTGGGGTCAGGCTAATTGTACATCACATATTTATGATTAGCTATTTAAAATAATGGATGTGTTCAAAGAGATAATTGCTATCTGAAATATTCAAATGATTATAAACATAATCTCAGTAGTCTCATAAATATTCCTGGTGAGGAATTATCTTTGGTTTTTGTAGTAGGACAGGCCCATTAGGTCAAGGAAATTGGCTCAAACCATTCGCCAAGGCATGCATATCATGTACTTCCTTATGAGCCAACCTGGAGTCTGCTTGATGGCCTAGCAAGGGGCACTGTCAGAGTTTCTGATGTGTGGAGTCTGCCTGAGCACCTAGCAACAGGCACTGTCAGAGGTCCTGATTGTGCCTAGGAAATGAGGGACAATGACACAATGTCACCAGATAGGGACATAGCCTGGGTGCTGGGAGGAGAGTATAGAAAGTTTTCCTCATTAGTAAATAAATGAACCTGCTGTTTACCATTTATCTGACTCTTGGTGTCTGTGTCATTGACACTGAACCTTTTAACTCCCTCCCCTGAGGGAGCTTTTAGCACCCCCAGCAACATCTGGTGCCTGAACATGGGAGTTCTGTTACATTTGCTTTCCTGGAGCCAATTCTGATTGTTTCTCTCCTTTAACTCACAGTACTGGACAGCACCCCCAAGATGGTGTGTATTAGTGAGAAGGCCCTTCAATGTGGTGTGCTTTCTGTCCCTTCATCAGGTAAGCATTATGGGACATTTTTTTCTTCTTTTGTATTGTCTGCCATGTTTGTCTGCACATTCAGTTAGGAAGGCACTTTTTTTTTGTTTTGTTTCACTTGGCACCTCCACATAAAGGCTGACCCCCTAGGATGCAGAACCAAGGCTTGGCTCCCAAACACCAACCCTTGTCCAGAGACAACATGTGGGCATATGACCATGGCCTAAAAAACCAGGGAAGTCCCCCACTAAGTACAAGATATTAAGGTCTGAAACAAATTTCCACCCCTGTTTTCTATCATCTTCTCTCTGATTGTTGTTTGCCTGCTTTCTCCCTTTACAAAATGGGTAACTACCTCATCACCTCCTCCCCTTCCATTTCTAACCTCTCTACAACATCCAATGAGGAAGCAGACTTTTCAGGCTATGTGAATTCTTCAAGGAGATAGCAGCTGCCATTAAGACACCCATGCACTGCTTCCACACTAGCCCTACTTCTGTCACAGGTGTCAACTCCCCCACTGGAGCATCCCTGGGGTGATCTGCCCCAGGGAAAACTGGCCTGAAAGACTGGTCACTCCCATGCTCCAATGTATACCCCTCATTGTCCACACCAGCCGCGTTCATTATCGGGAGGCCTGCAGAGGCTTATCCAGTTAACCTGGATCAAATTCTGCTCTCAAGCCATGGATTCACAACTTCATAGCTGAAATCTCCCTCATCTGGAAGGTGACTAATATGTTGAGCCTGGATTCACCTTGCTTTAAACAGGTCCTCACTCAATGGGCAATGCAACTACAGACATACTTTGACTGGTATAGTCTGCTCAAAGCTGTGCTAGAGCTGACAGCCTTTCTTAGATGGAAATTGGCTTAAGATGATCCAGCAGAAGCTGAAGCATGAAAAAAAACTCTTAACTATCCAGTGACCCTTGACATGCTCACTGGATGGGGTAACTTTGTCCATCCCATCCATGAAGCAAAGATTGCCCATCAAGCCTACTATCCACAGGTTTCTGACCTCGCCTTCAAGGGTCTTAATACATGTACCCTTCATGACCCCTCAGCTTACTTCCACAATCTTATTCAACAGCCAGGGGAACCTTTTCCTGATTTTCTCACATGTGTCAATGCATCAGTGGAGCAGAGAGTTGACTTGAAACCACTAGGGAAATGTTAATCAAACAAGTGGTTTTGAAGAGCTTAATGCCCCCACCTAGAATGAGGTTGCAGTGGTCTGCAATGAGGACATTCACAAGTGGGTACTGGACACAAGAGAACTTGACCCCAGTAACAATCCCATCACCACTCTTACTGCCTCCAGGAATGCTCTCCTCACTGACAGGCAGCATGCTAATGACACCCCCAAGGGAACTCAGGTAGATAGAACTTGCTGTGGATGTGGCCAACCTGTTATTTGCAGTGTGACTGCCCCCAGGCAAAACCTAGAACTCAATGCCCAGATGCAATAAAGGATTTCATTGGACAAAGGATTGTAGATCACAACCTGTTGAAACACCAGTCCCTTTTAAACTCCAGGCATGGCACTCCTCTGCAGTGCCAGTAAGAGGAGGTTCTGGTGATCCAATAATCTATTGGACAATGCCCATTTTCTACACCTCTTAATGCTAATCATCTGTCTTAATGGACAAGCTGATAAAAGTTTGGTGGACACGGGTGCAGATTCTACCATTTTGACAGAGACCTAGGCACTATGCTTCCCTCATTGAAAGTTTAAACCCAGCCCCCCCATCAGTGGTATGGGAGGCCAGCAAGTTTCTAAGATGACCACCCTGTAGCTGAAGTTTTCCTGGTCCTGCCTGGCTCCCATGGCCCTTTGGCCACTTGGACCCAAGTAAACACACAAATGCTTATATTAATTAAAACTGCTAGGCCATTAGCTCAGGCTAACTATTAACTAGGTCTTACACTCAAATTAACCCATAATTCTTATTCATGTTTAGTCACGTGGCTTGGTACCTTTTCTCAGTTGTGCCTTCATATTTTGCTTCCTCTGTGTCTGACTGGTGACTCCTGACTCAGCCTTCCTGTTCCCAGAATTCCCCTCTCTGCTTATCCCACCTATACTATACTTCCTGCATGGCTAATGGCCAATCAGCATTTTATTTATCAACCAAATCAGAGCAAAACATATTCACAGCATACAGAATGACAATCCCATTACCACCCATTTGGTCAACTGGAAGAACCTTGACAGTAATCAGGGAGCCATTCATCCTATCATTTCCACTGTACCTAGGAACCTGTGAGGCAGAGATATTTTGGAGGATAAGGGTGTTGTCCTTACTACAGATGACAGGGCCTTCTTTGATGACATCAGAATCCAAGAAAAGGTGGATCTTGCCATCTGTGACCCTACACTAGATCTGTATCCCCAATTCTAACTACCATGGTCCCCATGAGGTCTACCATGATTGATCCCCCTAGCCCCATTCCATTGACATGGTTCTCAGATCAAGAGTATGGGTGGAACAGTGGCCTATACTTGAACCGAAACTGTCAATCCTGAATGAAATATTTACAGGACAGCTAAAGGTGGGGAACATAGAACCATCCAGAAGTAAACATAGTACCCCAATATTTGTTATTCCCAAGAGTTCAAAGCACTACCACCTCCTGCAGGATCTTTGTGTAGTTGATGGTCAACTGGAAATGGGGTCTACACTGCCAGGCCTTGTCCACCCTAGTGCTATTTCTCCATCACATTATATATTAGTTTTAGATATTAAGGATATTAAGGATTGATTTCTTTCAGATTCCTTTGGCACCACAGGATCAAGATCATTTTGCCTTTACTGTGTGGGAATTAAGATGTATAAATGGCTTAGACATATCAGTGGACTTTTTTTCCTCAAGGATTGAAGCATAGTCCCACTATTTGTCAACAGGGATATTCTTTTGATCCACTATATGGATGATCTTCTGTTGGTAGACCCAGGTGCAGTCTACCTGCAAAAGACTGCCAAGGGAGAATTAGAAGATCTTGCATCATTATATCTGATGGTGGCTCCAGATAAGGTCCACATGGTACCCCCCCTTTGCCTTTTTCCATTGCTAAGCAATGAAGGAATTGAACTCACTCTCAGAATTTTGACAATTATTTAGCACAGTTATTTGGGTTAAACCTTTCTTGCAAGTCCCTGACCAAGAGATGAGAAACCTCTTTCATTGCTGGAGGGCCTCACTTATCCTCCCACTAATGTTAGGCTTACTCAAGAAGCTGAAAATTTGCTACAAAAGGTTTTGGCCATTCTAGCCACCTTCAGTTTGCAACATTGATTCCCTAAAGCCCTTAACTGAAATGGTGCTCAGGAACCCAAGGGATTATGGGGAGTATGATAGCAATCTGGGCCCCTTCTATGGATACACCAAAGACATTCTAAAAGCACAAGGTCACCTCTAAGTTTGACCAGTCCTAAATTGACCTTGAGGCACAGATGCTGGCATGGAGAACATATGCCTTTTGTTCTGCATTTCACTTCCTCTCTCCACCCAGCTACATCCTTTCCTGTCTTTCTGTACAGACCTCCAGACCTCCATGGTTAGTGATGGGATTAAAGGCATGCATCACCATGCCTGACTCTTCGTCTGTGCGGCCTTCAACTAACAGAGATCCAGGTGGATCTCTGTCTCCTGAATGACTGGATTAAAGGTGTGTGCTACCATTGCCTGACTTCTACATTTAATATAGTGACTGGCTTTTTCCTCTGATCCTCAGATAATCTTTATTACGGTGCACAATATATTGGGGGACACAATGTATCACCACAGCCTTTCAACAATTCAATGATTTTCTGTTGCATTTTACCAGAGACATATGTTGGAGCATTATCAGTTTTAATTCACACAGGTATACCCATAATGGCCATAACATCTAGAAAATGTATGATTACAGAATCACCCTTATTAGAACTCAGAACAGTTGTCCATTGAAATCTTCAGTAGATATCGCTGATGTGGTGTACATACTTCAACTTTCCAAATTCTGCAAAATTAAATGCATCCATCTGTCAGACTTCATTCCTCTGAGTACCCTTTGGGTTACATCCTGCTCATAGTGGAGTTTGATAGTAAAAACAAAATTAGGACATTTCCTTATAATTTCCTTGGCTTGTTGCCAGGTTATAGATAAATCCTTTTTTAAACCCTTACTATTGACATAATTTTTTTAGGAAATTCTGAGGCCTCTAGCATATTTCCTATCAAGAGTTGATCAATCTCCTCATTACCTTGTGCTAGAGGGCCTTGCAGACCTCTATGGGATCAAATGTGAGTTACATATGAGGGATGATACTTATTCCTGATTATTTCTTATAACTGAATAAATAACAAAGTTAATTCTGACTAATCAGGGAAAATTCTGCCTTCTCAGTATGTAAGATCACTTTTTCAGCATACTGAGAGTTAGTAACTATGTTGAGCTTGGGCCTGGACCAGGGGCCTGCAATGCCACAGGAAAGAGACTTTTTAGTGAATTTGTGCCAGTAATGTTGGTTATCAGATATAATACAAATTGCTATAGCTCTATAGTAGAGCTTGAGGTCAGGGATCATGATGACTCCAGGGGTTGCTTTATTGTACAGGATTCTTGGAGTGATCAGGAATACAGGGAACATACCTAAACATAATAAAGGCAATTTACAGCAAGCCAACAGCCAACATCAAATTAAATGGAGAGAAACTCAAACCAATTCCACTAAAATCAGGAACGAGGCAAGGCTGTCTGTTCTCCCCATACTTATTCAATATAGTACTTGAAATTCTAGCCAGAGCAATAAGACAACATCAGGAGATTAAGGGGATACAAATTGGAAAGGAAGAAGTTAAGCTTTCCCTATTTGCAGACGACATGATAGTATACTTGAGTGACCCCAAAGATTCAACCAAGGAACTGATACAACTTATAAACACCTTCAGCAACATAGCAGGATACAAGATCAACTCAAAAATATCAGTAGCCCTCTTATATACAATTAACAAACAGGCTGAGAAGGAAATCAGAGATATTTTGTAATATCCATTTACAATATTTACCATTTACAATAGCCACAGACTATATAAAATACCTTGGGGTAACACTAACCAAGCAAGTGAAGGACCTATATGACAAGAACTTTAAGTCCCTGTAAAAAGAAATTGAAGAAGATGTCAGAAAATAGAAAGATCTCCCATGCTCATGGATAGGCAGGATTAACATAGTAAAAATGGCAATCTTACCCAAAGCAATCTACAGATTCAATGCAATCCCCATCAAAATACCAACACAATTCTTCACAGACCTGGACAGAATAATACTAAACTTCATATGGAAAAACAAAAAACCCAGAATAGCCAAAAGAATCCAGTACATTAAAACAACCTCTGGAGGCATCATGATCCCTGACCTCAAGCTCTACTATAGAGCTACAGTAATAAAAACAGCTTGGTACTGGCATAAAAACTGATATATGGATCAATGGAATCAAATTGAAGATGATGACATTAATCCGCACATCTATGAACATATAATTTTTGACAAAGAAGCAAAAACTATACAATGGAAAAAAGAAAGCATCTTCAACAAATGGTGCTGGCATAAGTGGATATCAACGTGTAGAAGGCTGCAAA